AAAAAAAAAAAAAAAAAAAAAAACCATAGAACCGTTTAGCCTTGAAGATTACTTCAGTTTAATTAATTAATTTATTTCAATTGGTTTTGCTTCGGGAGGAATGGGGTTTAACGAGGGTATCTGTCGCATATTAGTGATAACAACCTTGGAAATATCTCTCCAGACAAAGGTTTTGTTAACTATTGTAATCTTGTATATGTAACTCTTCTTCTCCACAAGACTTAAGTGACATTCAAAAGTTTGGATTAGCATAAGAGTTATAGAGTGTGTTTCAAGTCATTTGTCCATGGAGGTTGGTCCAATATTGTGTAATGGTTTCGATTTTATGGTGATGATTGTTTTGAACAATTTGGAAGAAGTTAATAGACTTTATGTTGTTTGAGTATCTGAAGCAGTTGTTAGGTGTAATCCTGTTTGATAAATTGCTTCAGTAAATCCGAATCCTTTCAAAACTAAAGCTAGTCACAATCATATGAGTGCTGTAGTTCTAATGGCAGTCAACGGATGCTAGTAGTATGGTATTTCAGCTTGACAAATTTCTGATGCAGTTTCTGCTCTGATGATTCTAATGCAAGAATGGGGCATTAGACCTCCCAGTTGGGTTGGTTCAGATCCTTGTGCTGAGGGCTGGGAAGGTATTGATTGCTCCAATTCACGTGTTACCTCCATGTAAGTCCCACCTTTTTAATGTTCGTGGAAGCGCTTGGTTCCATTTATTTTTTATTTTTGACAATGATCTGACTCCTTTAATTTCAGAATGTTGGCAAGCAGGGGTTTGACAGGTCAGCTACCTAGCGCAATCCAGTTGTTATCTGAGCTAGAGATTCTGTAGGTCTTCTATTTCCACTTTGCACCTTACACTAGTTATTGTTCTTGATTTACTCCTAATCTGTCATCCATAATCTAGCACTGGAGTGCCAGATATTTCAAGGTTCAGTGCTCAATATGTGGCACGGACTGTCTTGGATCATCATTGCTAAAATATTTGAAGTATACTAATCAATGCTTCAACTATTTGATGCAATTGTTGGAAAAGAAAAAGATTTCTGAATTAGTCCAACTCATTTCTCATACAGGAATCTGTCTTTCAACAAGGGCCTGACAGGACCACTTCCAACATCACTTGGAAATTTGACGAAACTAGTATACTTGTAATTGAAAAAGAAAGAAATTATTGCTTTCTCCTCTATCGTAATTATGGATGTGGTATGTGATCATTTATCCTCCTAATTATTTTGTTGCCTTGTTCTTTGCATGCCAGAGTCCTGGCTGGTTGCAGTTTCTCTGGTGCTATTCCAGGCACAATAGGATCTCTAGAGCAGCTATTTTATCTGTAAGGCTTTCGATCTTCACACCCCTATCTTTTTTAATCTGCAATCGTTTTCTTGAAGCCTCCTGCTTTTGATGCTGTTGTATGTCTGGGCAGATATGCACCACTAAACTCCGAATTCTTCATTTATGTTCTACTGCAGAGATCTGAATAACAATAGATTGAGTGACCAGATTCCGCCTTCCATTGGTAGTCTGTCCAATCTAAACTATCTGGACCTAACTGGAAACAAACTTAATGGATACATCCCAGTCTCTAGTGGGACTACACCTGGTCTTGATATGCTACATAATGCAGAACACTTGTATGTCAACTCTCGTTAGTAATTTTGGGCAGATTAGCTTGTCCTAACCATGGAGCGCTCTCTACCATCTGTGTCCATCTGATTTTTTATTGTCTTTAAATGCAGTCATTTGGGAGGGAATCTGCTCTCAGGCAAAGTTCCACCTGAACTTTTCACCTCAAAGATGGTTCTGAAACACTTGTAAGTTTTGTTAAAGGTTCATGTGCTACAAGGTATAATAGTCTCTCCTTAGTGCACTTATCGATTTTAATGGGTACTGCTTATGCTTTTGTTAACGAAAAGTGAAATGTCTAAGATATGAAAAATGAGGCATGGAAGCCTTTTTATCTTGAAATCTCATTTGCTAAAGGAAACTGAAAGAGAATAGAATCCACCTGCCACTTCGATTTTATCACATTACTGTGCTTGTTGTGTAGTTTTGGCCTCTATAAAATAGAGCCATTATAATTCATGGCAGGCTTGACTTTTGATGGATAAGATCTTCATTTCTCTCTGTTTCTTCTTTAAGTTCTTCTGCTTATTTACCCTTGCTCTTTTGTATCCTCCTCTTCCTTATCTAGTTTATTTCTTAGTTAATCCCTCCTGGGTTCTACATTTGATCTACTTGAATACTTTTATCCATTCAGGATTTTGGACAACAATAATCTAACTGGCAGAATCCCTTCTACAATTGGAAATGTGCAGACTCTGCTGACAGTGTGAGTATCAATGCCATATCCTCAAGTGGATTTATACAAAGATTATTGTGGCTGTGGTCTGTCTAAATTTAGTGGCACTGGACATATTATATATATATATATATGTGTGTGTGTGTGTGTGTGTGTGTGTGTGTGTGTGTGTGTATACAAATATATATCTTGTTCTTGTACAGACGCCTTGACCGGAATTCATTAAGTGGGCATGTGCCTTCTAGCCTCAACAATCTTTCAAACATGGCCGAATTGTAAGCATACACAGCATACCAATTGAAGAAT